TCCCTCTAGTCTTACACTGCTAAATTAGGGATGACTAGCGCAGATCACCCTCAAAATTCAAAACAAACAAACAAGAGAAAAAATAACAATAATTTTTGACATCTAAAGGTATGAAATGAATAAAATATTCATATCATGAACATCCATTTAGAGTGTAGTCACATTTCACTGTTAAGTGTTTTTTCTGATAATATTAACATAAAATTAATCTCTTTGTCACTTTTGGTAATTAGTGACTTTTAAAGCCATTGTGGCAATGGGTGATATTAAAGAATATACAGATGATGGTTAAAACAGGACTTGTACTGGTTAGAAATTCTAAGTGTTATCACCCATATGTTTAGAAATATCACACTAGTTATGTTGAATTACAAGTAGTTGAAATAAAAACTTGTAACTTTTTATGTTTTTAGCAATTCCTTGAAGTTTTAGAAATATGATTGTTGTAAGCCCTCGTAAATTCCCATTAAGCTGTTACATTTTATACATGTTTTAGTAAACAATCTGTGGAGTATAATATGGACTGCTGTTAAAAATTAATTTAGGATTTTTATAATTGTTATGAAATAATGAACATAACATTAGTTACCCAATGTTTAGGCCATGGAGATGAGTGTCGATGAAATGAAGTCAATCAGTCGAGCAGGAGCTGGACTCCTTAAGTTTGTGGAGGCAGTTATGGGATATTGTGCAATTAATAAAGAGATTAAACCAAAGAGAGAAAAGGTACAGTTTTCAAGATTGAAAATTAACATTTTAAAGTTTTTATTACATTTTAGAACTGTATGACTGTGAGTTATGGTTAAAGTGGGTTTATAATTAGACATATATTTTATCTGCAATTCAGCATTTATTGTTAAAATAATTGATATTTGGATGGGAAACTTTACGTTCTGAAAGTTTGTTGACATGTGGTTCGTTAACTTTTTTCCAATATTACTTATATATGTATATATCCTGTCCTGATGAAGAACTGTTGCCCAAAACGTTTTCATGTTTTATCAGTAAAAGTATTTTAATTTGGTGTGTTTTTCACTTTCAGTTTTATTCTTATTTTTTTAAATCACTTGCATTTGGTTTAAGTGTTTAATAGCATTTCATGCAGAGTTGCTACTCCACCTAAAAAGCTACATTTTAGTAGATGCGTACAAGTGAGATGTGCTTTGAAGAAGAATGAAACAGTCCTGCCCATTAAACCACATTTTGAGACTTGATAACACATAAGTTTAATATATATTTTCCACCAGAGTAACCTCAAAAATCCTTATTTTTAATGATGTATTTTAATGTTACCATAATGTGTTTTCTTTTTCTACTTATTTTCTGTGTTAATGGAGACCCATTCTTTACCTAGGTTGCAAAGTTAGAGAAGAACTATCATCACGCTAAGAGGGACTTGGAGAAAGTCAACAAAGAAGTACGTAAACTCGAAAAAGAACTGAAAACACTGAGTGATAAGTATGAAGCAGCAGTGTCTGAGAAGCAGGCCTTGCAGGAGGAGACTGTCATAATGGGACGACGGTTAACTGCTGCAGATAAATTAATCTCCGGCTTAGCATCAGAAGATTTACGGTAAGTGTAAAAGGTTTTTTTATTAATGTATATAGGAAAGGGCTTAGTTTTCCCAGCTTTACATATTTCAAGTGTTGTTAGTTATAAAAAACAGCATCTCAGTAATGATAGTATTGAATCATGAATAGAGATAGCACTAGTAATTGTTTTTCATTTATAAAGTAGGAAATTATTAGCTTGTTTTCTTAACCTTTATGTTTGGAACTGTGCTGTATGGCAACTGTATACTATTGTGTAATGCAAGCATACTAAGCTATGGTGTTATATGCACTTTCTATGGGAAAGACTTGTAAAAGGGAGAATTCTTTATAGAAATAGATAGTGATCTTTTCCACTGGCAGGTCAGGTGATACCTCAAGGCTTCAACATCCCTTATCTTGTAGTGAAAGTGACCATCAGTCATGTGGGTAGCACTTCAGTACTCTGAGTAGTTTTTATATATTATATTATGTTTCTCAGTCTCGAACAGAAATGGTAGAATGATTTAAAATTATTACATGTATTGATTTTCTTTAAATACACTGAAAGCTCTTCAGTAAAGGCACCACAAAATGCACTTATTTTTCCCTTTGATTCAGTTTATCTGTTTGAAATAAAAATTGTTTCACTGTGTTAAACGCAGTGTCTAGTGTCTTTCTTTGCATGAAACTCAGTCAAGGTTAATAGAATTTAGAATCATTTTGTAACACATTTTTCATGTCAAAACCTCCTGTTATTCTATGGCTTCTGCTTAATTAGTCTAAAAGAAGTCAGTGCATCTGAGAATACCATATTATAATGCTTGTCTGGCTCTATTCTATGGGCTTACAATTTATTACAGAATTCTTGATTATGAAAAAATAAATTAGAAAACATTTTCTTTTGAATGATATATGAATATGTTTGTTATTTTTATCACTATATGGTTAACTATTTTAGTTTTACATTGTCAATGCTTTTGCTTGTGTTAAAAAATATTAGGTATACCTAATTTTAAGTACTTTTAATATTCGTCATGTGATACAATGCAATATTGTGACATTTTCAAACCAATAACACATTTTTTTTCTTAGTTGGAAGAAAGAACTAAGTGATCTAGAGGAGAGAAAGATTCAGCTTTTGGGTGACTGCCTTATCTCCGCTGCTTTTCTGAGCTATGTGGGAGCCTTTAGTTGGGACTTTCGCAACCAGATGGTGTATAATGATTGGAAGAAGGACATTCAGGATAGAGGAATTCCTCTGAGTAATCCATTTCAGTTAGCAGCCTTGCTTACTGATGATGTAGAGATCAGCAGGTAGGTCATGAGTTGGTTCTTCACAGAGCTTTTGAGGGTTTTTTCTTAACTATGCAAACAAAATTTTAACATTTAACCTGTCTTATATATTTTTGTATAGTTGTTGACAATTCAGAAATAGAACAGTGAAAAATCTGAAATTGTTTGAATAATTTTTGTTCTCATCAAATGTCCCAGGGTTATAATTTAATCACATTTTGAATAATCTGTCTATTATATAGGTATGGATTTTCAAAATGAAATACCACTTTGTAAAATTGATAATGTTATTTATCTTTTAACTTGTGGTATATGCGGTCTTAAATATGTAGGGCAAACATATAATCCTTTACATCATAAGATTAACCTACATAGATCACTAAGTAAAACTGGTTTTCCTTATACAATAGAAATAGATCATTTTAATAAACACTCGTTCAATAATGTTATAATAACAATTTTAGAAAAAATATTTAACACAAAGTTATTAACAGAAAGAGAAGTATATTATATCTTAAAAGATAAAACTCTTTATCCCTTCGGATTAAATCAGGATTTTCAATATAAAAATGCTGAAATATTAAGTAAAAATATTTATATAAAACTTTATTTCAAATTTATAATTTTAAGCATAATAAACGTAGAGGTAAAGGTAAAAGTAATAGTAAATGGATTGATTTTGAAAAATTTTCTAAAATCTTAGACACTGCTTTTGATAAATCTGGTAGTTTAATAAAATACATAAATAAACAGTTATTTGAATTAAAAAATATGAAAATTAGAGGTTTTTTGAAGTATGTGTTAAAATTTGATTTTAATAATATTCATATAAGAGATTTAATTATTTATCTAATAAAATTAAAATGTAATCAAGTTCTGAATAATCTTTCAGAAAAGAAAAAAGAGAAATCTTATTTTGTAAAAGATTTTAGACATAAAATATATATGATGATTTAGTATCTTATACAAAAAAGAAAATATTTCTCCTTTAAAATCATTACAACCTACAGTCAGTTCTAAATATAACAATTCATTGGACCTCTTCTTTTTAATTATAAAAATTCACTGAAGAATTTAATCCTTTAGAAATAGATAATTTACCTTGTATTTGTAGTAATAATGAATTTAAGGATATTTTTTATAATCATATAGTAACAAGTAATTTAGAAGTAATAGAAGATAATGAATTAAGATTAATTTTAAAAAATGTTACTAAATTTCAAATTAAAAAAAGACAAAT